ATATATATATATATATATATATATATATATATTTACACTCACATGATTCACTTAATTTAAAAATAAGTTTTAATACATTTTTTATTCAATAATTTATGTTTCTATATTAAATTTCGCTGTTAAATTAAAAATTCTTTATATATAAATTAAGCCTATAATTTTTTTAAAAAAAAAATCTTCATTTTTGAATTTATCGATTGCTTACATGAAGCATATTTTACAAGAGCTTGAAATTAAAAATATTCATGAATTCCACCTCCCATTGGTGTTTTTCAGTGTGAATACCCTACTAAGTTTTGCATAATTTTTAGTGCGAATATCTTACTAGCTAGGTTTTTTTTCCTCTTATTATTAAATTGTTTAGTGTGTACCCAAATAAGCCTACAATTGCTTATGACCTGTAGTCATGTAAATATTTAAATGTATATGTATATAATAACTAAAGTTCTTTGTACTTTGAGTAACGTCAACTGCAATTCATGGGTGATCCAATTTAGTTACATATATATCTTATTGCTCTTATTTTTATATTAAAAAAGAATTGTCAATATTTAATAGATAAACTATTGCGAAATATCAAAATTTAAATCATATTAAAAACCAAACATGCGTATAAATAAGCATGTAATATTTAAATAAAGTGCTTCATAAAGCATGTATATCTTGCTTTAAATCATGCACAGTAGAAATACAAATGATGTATTTATTTTTTTGTCTTTACTGAAGCTGTCGGTTGTAACTTGCAACTCCTGCATGTTTACTCACTTAACACGACTTTTTGCATTTGAGTGTGTTTGTGTATTATCATATTACTTAATTAGAATATTTAAGTCTATGTTATATGTACAGTGTGCATTGCATTGAATAATTTTTATATTATATTATAAAATTTATAACAAATAAATGTTTTTAATGTATAATAAATTATATTAAAATTAAAAGTTAATATATGGTTAATATAGTATGATGAAATGTAACTAAAGGTCACTAAATGAGGATCTTAAATTAAATAAAAGATCTATTTAAAATATTATTCCCTTGCGTCACAATTCATAGTTATTCCATTATATGATGCAATTTTTTTTTATTGTTATATACATATTATTTTTAAATTCATTAATATATTGTAAATTTATTAGATTAAATTAATATTAATATTATTTTTACACAAATTGATAGAATGGAAAGACACTTTCAATACTATTCTATCAGACATGATGCCAATGTCATGCTGGAACTATTAGCAGAGGTTCACCTAACCCCTATCGAACTTGCACTCACAAATACTATCGTGAATCTATGAAATTAACTTAAAAATACAAATAAATAAAGTAAAAAAATGTTACAAAATGCAAATCAATCCAGATTTTTTTTTTTTTTTTTATGAAAAAAAGTAATTATTTCCAAGTGAATAATGTTTTGAAGACAAGGTGGAATACGGTTGTGGAATGGGGAGAGGAAGGTTATTCTTAGTCCGTAACAATGTTTTGGGCCTTGTCTCTTTGTGAAGCCAACTTAACAATGTGGCATCTGTGTACGAAGGTTTGTACGTTTGTTAAGATTAAGAATAATCCCAAATTGGGTGAAGTTTGGTGCATTGTGGTTCATGCCATCTCTAACTTGTGAGTTGTGACTTGATCAAAACCTTCTCTTCCAATCCATTCCATACCTGCCCTTTGACGTCTCTCAAACACAAGCATAAATGTCTAAAAAAAAAGTGAAAACTAAAGAGAGGTGTTTTTTATTTATATTATTATTATTTTTATATATTGTTATAAATAAATAAAACTTATTAATTTATCTTTAAATAAATACTGTGTTTGAATATATAAATTGTATTTAAAATCTATATAAATGGACATTTTTAAATATATAAACTATATTTTAAATTTATGGTAAGTAATTTATATTGTAACATAAAATTATTTTTATTTAATGATAATTTATTTTAAAATATTAATATTTAATTTATAAATAATTATAATAAATAAAACATAATTAAATAAGAAGTAAAAAAAACTCTACAAACTCTCTTAAAAAAAATCTAAAAATACTCTTACACAATATAACAAATCATGATTTATATATAGGAGTCAAATTTTATTAATTTTAGATTGTTTTTTTTTTGCTGGTTCTTGCCAATTTTGAAATAATCTGATATTTGAGAATTAACCAGCATATCACCAAACCGGTCGGCCCAGTCCTATTTTTAAAAAGCATGCTTTTATAGATATCAAATCATCACATGCATGCTATTTTCATAATTTCATCCTTTCAACCACACTTTCATACATTGTTTAATTTTGCCACCGGTACTTTGTACGAGATAATAGTGTCAAACACTACGCAGAGTGTCAAATCAAATCAAATCCATAGGTCTTTTGGTAGCATTATTCTTTATGTTTTCTTGCCACAAATATTTCACGTCATAAAGTTTTCTAACTTGGAAGTTTCTCTTGAAAGAACGTAGTTAAAAACATAAAACAAGTAATATCTGATAATCAAAATACGTACAGAGAACATGTATAATAGCACTATCAAAATTGCAAAAGACAAATGTGGAATAATTATCTTTGGAGCACTAACAGAAAATTTCTAATCATGTCTCAACTCTTGGTCTTGATGAGAAAATGTTTCCACCTCACTTTTCACCCATCTTGTCATCTTGGCAATCAAATGCTGAACCCACCAAATAGGGACAGCTTCAACAGAGAGAGAGAGAGAATGAATGGAATTCTTTGTTGTTTCTTTTGCTTCTTTTTAACCCATAGGTTTAATTAAAGCATACCTCCAGATAAAAAACCAAAGCATCCAAAAAGCAATACCCAATTTTGACTTCACTTTGATCTTCCTACTCATTGCAGGAAATTGCTAATAAAGACCACTTTTGTCACACTAATACAATAAGGGTCCACATTCAAAAATTATGTTTGAAATCATCTGGTGTCATTGTGATTTTTGCTAACTTTTCTTTCTCTCTAACTACTTTTTACTTTCCTCATAACATCTTCCAAGTATAACTTTCCAAGAACTTCACAAATCACAAGTGAAACAGATGGTGGATTCTGATCATCTCTAAGGAAAAATTACAAGTTAAGGGTAACATTATGCCACAGTCCAGAAACGGGACTTTGTATAAAAGGAATGCTTTTCCTTACACACACGCAAGAATAATTCTTATTTAAAGGGTAATGCTTGATTGAATCGATGTTTATGGCATAATTTACAAGTATTATCAATAAAAATGTAAAATCAAAAGTATGAAAGCAGGAGTTCAAATGAGGACTCGTTGAAGATATGTAAGTTGCTTCATTCATGTACCTTGAGCTCTATTCATCCATGGCAAAGCTGCAGAACCACCCAAATGGTTTTCTTGTGAACTTGAAACCTTGTCCTTCCTAGACCATTGCCAGATCTTGGAAACAGAAAAGCTTTCACCTTTCCTAGCAATGTTGATTTTCTTCCCCTCAACATCCCCATCAGTGGAAGAATTTCCACAATGGGCCAATCTCCCTTTTAATTGTCTCATACTGCCACCAATGGCACCTCCACCATCACCTCTATTGGTACATAAAGCCACTTGCAAATCTGAATCATCAACCACATACTGAAAGGACCCCATTGAGTAGCATCTCCTAACATCCAAATTACTTGTACTACTCTCCCCTCCTCCTCTCCCCACCCCCTCCCCATTATTTGAGCTTCTAAACTTCCCAAGCCTCACAGAAAACACCCTTTTCCCACTCATTATGTGGCTTTCTGCATGCTTGCTAGCCTCACCAGCAACACTGCCTGAAACCCCATCTTCTTCCCTCACACCCTCAAAGTCATAAACTGGGTTTTCAAATGCAAAGCCTGGCTCATAAAGACTCCCTCTGCAGAGAGGACAGGTTGAATTTGACAGCAGCCATGTGTCTATGCAATCAATGTGGAAAGCATGGTTGCATAGGGGCAGCAACCTCAGCATGTCTTGTTCTGAGAATTGACAAAGGCACACTGCACAATCAAATGGCTCCTTCAACCCTATAATGTCTTTGTAGAGGAAAAGTGGGAGGGCATCTATGAAGGCCTGATCTAGGCCTGAATCATGGAGATGGAATAGCTGCTGTAACTGTCTCTGGTAAGGATCAGATTCAGACATGTCAGGGTACCTATTGGACTGAGAAATTGATGAAGAGGATCTGAGCCTTATGAGAAATCTAACAAGCAGGTGGAGGACACCAGAGATGAAAAACACAACAGCTAAAATGACAAAGATAAAAACAATTGCAGGGGTTATTCTGGTGCCAGATGAAGAAGCTAGAGGAGGGGGTAATTGTTTCTTGTAGTCAGAATTGTAAGGCAATGATGCAGAAGAGGAACAACAACAACATGAAGGGGAAATAATAGTGGGGTTGTTGATAGTAGCATAACTACTGTGGCAGATTTGAGACTGAATCCAATTCATTTCAGAATGAGCCTGTGTTGTGTGAGTGAGCTTATGCAGAAGAGACACTGACAACTACCTACTTGCTACAACAAAGTTATTGTCTTTGCCTCTTTCGGGATTGAACCCAACTCACATATTGAGGAAGACAATCAACATACACATCAATCCTTGCAATTAAAAAAGACAGATAAAAAAGGTGGCACCTAGTGGAAATGAAAATAAAAACAACCTTACTCAAATTTTTGTTGCTGTTTGGAGACCATAAGTGTGGCAGTTACAAGAGGGAGAAACATGCTAAAGAAACTTTAAGGTTGCAGTTGACCCACCTTAAGTGTTGGAGCTACTCTCAGTACCTGGGACAGTTCTCTGCGTCACAAATCAAACGGGAACGGAAAACGGAGTCACTTCCAAAACCCAAGGTCTTAGTTTTTGGACCCGTACGGAGAAGATGTATAGAATACTAAAAATCTAGAATTTGCGTTTTCATCTTTATCGACTTATTGGATAACTTTCTTTAGGGCCCAAACAAAATTTGGTGTTTTGAGCCCACATTATCATTAGACAAAGCAAAAGCCTAAGAAAAGGCTTTTACTCGTGAATGTGGGTAGACCACGAGGCCCAATGTCAATAATGGCCGGCCCTAAGCCATTATAGCACAGGCCCAATAGAAGATTATGAAAAATAGTTCAACCCATCTATTATAGACTACGAAGCTTCTAGTTATCTTTGAAACTTGCTTTAAAAATTTTCAAGGCATTTGTTTAAGTTTTTGAAAAATAAAATAGAATTATAAAACAGATTTATTATTGTTATTATTATTTTGAGAAGTTAATTTGAGCATTTTGTGGAAAAAAATGACACTAAAACTATTTTTTCTCAAAATAAAAATTCCATTTTATAACTAAACAAAAAATAGCTTCTATTTTATATAATTGAAAAACACTTTTTATACATTTTTTTAAGAAAAAACTCATACAATTTAAAAACCTTCTGTAACTTTAAACAAACAGGCACGGTGACCCGAAAGACGAAAAGGAGGATGTCTATGATGTACCAAGATATCTAAATAATGTTTGGTAAATTTTGGAGAGTAAAAACTTGTTTTTAAACATACGTGCTAGTTTTCATCTAAAGTGCATAATTCGAAAAGTATTAGGGATTTCTTTCCCCCATTTTAGAAATAATAGAAAGAATATATGTGATATTAGAATAAGTATCTATTATTGGATGTAATGACTAATTTTTATTAGAGATATCAACAAGATGTAACATAGTTGATTAATAATCCAGTCCCTTAAGCATATAGTCAGGGATCAAAATTCCTACTGACTAATATGCATGAAAAGATACTTGTTGGGAGAAGTCAACCCTTTAAATAAGGTTCAATACACTTTAAATGATTAGCCTTTAGTTGTCGTTTAGGGAATACATTGGTTTACCAAGAAAAAAAGTTTTCACTAGAGATTATATATAGATACAAAATGAGTATCCTCTTTCTAATAAAGTCAATTCCACTCAAAACTTTTTTTTTTTTTTTGAAAATACTAATGTAATGACTTGTGCCCTACGTACGTACATGGGTGTTTAATTTATAATTTTTATATAACTACAATTATAATAAACATATTTTTTAATTTCATATAAATCTACCTTAAAATATATATATATATATATATATATATATATATAATATAAATATATGAAAATATTAATAGATGTTACTTTTATTTACATATTTATATTATTTTAATTTGTAGATATATTTTACATCAAATTTCATATGATTTTTTTAATAAATATTATATGAATTTAAATTTCATATGATTTATATTATATGAGTTATTGAAACGAGTCTCGTATCTCTTTCTCTCTAATATATATATATTCTTAAATGATGTAAGTAATATATTTATAATGTCTTTAAGGAAAAGTGTTCATATTTTAAACTATCTATTATTACGTTTTTTCACCACAGAAATCTTCGATTTAGACATGATAGCTCATAATGGTTATTAGAACAATTATATTGTACTTTATTTAGAATATCTCTCCAAAGTCGCCCTCCCCCGTTTTAGAAGATATTGGAGAAGTACAGTTAATTATTAACTTGTTTGATCTCTAGCTTAATTCTGGCCATAAGAAAAATAATGGAAAGATGTAAAAATGGTGCTATGTCCTCAAATTTAGCTCACATTTAGTCGAAAAATACTAATTGTTAGTTATTAGTTGATAGTGAGAGATTCAAACTTATATCCTTCTTATAACTTCAATCTTATGTTCCTCCTCCAAATTACTAAGATCACCTTAATTACCACTCCTTGCTTTTTTGAATAATGAATTACAATCGAGTTATAATTAAATTAGGAACGATATTTGGTATCATACAGATATTATGTACAATTATATATATTTATTTTATATTATATGAGTTCATGAAACTCAATTTTATGATATGCATTCTTTATAATTAGTGATTTTTTTCAACAATAATTATTAAAATATACTCCAATATCATTCTTAAAAATATGAATTTGTTCAATCTTATAAAATTAATTTATTAAAAAAAATTATTCATTATGAATATTATTTTAATCATATGACTGATCATTCATCAACGTCTAGCTATCTCCAACACTTATATCATGAATTCTCTTATACTACGTGCGTACCGCAACATAAAATTAAGTAATGAATTGCTATATCCGAATTCTAAAGGAAAGTAACATGTAAATAATTAGGGGTCGGTTATCAACAAGAGGGCTAGCTCTAGAGAGGGTCCTACAGTGCTTTTCGACTAAAATAACTACTTTAAAAGTTTCCTTTTGGGTAACAGGAAAATATATACGATTACCAGCTGAAACACAACGTAAAGTGGTAAGAAAAAAGGGGTAGGTCAAACCCTATTATGAGAATTTTCATTTTCTTTCTTAAGGATTAGGTGGGTATAACTACTCTCTCTAGAGTCTAGCACTAGCAGTAGTAGCCGAACAAGCCAGGCCATATTGTTTAGTTGTTGACTGGTAATTAACCAAATTAAGACTAATCAATGATTGGTAACTATATTATTATATACATGAATCATGTTGTGCAATCCATATATAGATAGATATACAGGCAGCTAACAACTAACCTGAAAAATCAAAAGTGACAGAAAAAAAATGAAATTATACATGTGATGTCGAGATTATATAATTTGTGATGGATTAATAGACATTAAAATGATTAAAAAATAAGTTAATAGATTGCAAAGAACTGCAGTACTAAAAAAACAAATAGCTTAGTAATGCTAGCTTGTTGGTATTTCAAAACTCAAGGAAATGCAGCTAGCATTACTTACATGCATGACCTAATTAATCCTACAAAGTCCTATACATTACGTTCTAATGCATCACCATCCAATGACATGAAAAATCAAGAAGGTCATCAAGGTGGGAATTGAGGAAAACGTTGAGTAAATAAGGGTTTGGTTAAGAGTCTGAATAATCAAGTTAACAAAAAGTGGGAAACTCTAGTCAAACTAACTAACCAGATAGTTAATATTCAAATCTTTCTTTGTGTATATACTATATACTTTTCTAACATTTCATGATATTTGATCATTTTTACCTTTTCTTCTTAGCACCAACGAACAAAAAACTAACAATGGAACTCTTATTCTAAATAACAAGAAAAGAAACAACGAATTAGGTTTTACTAAACGAAAACTTTAGCCCCAAATTTAATTAAAAGTGTAATAATCTGAATCCACTTATTTTATATAAAAGAAAAATCTAGAAGGAAAAGGAAAGTAAGTCAGCCCATTAAGCCCAATATCACCTCTAACAGAAAGCCCATTCATCCAAACATGACCAAGGTAAAAATCCTACCTAAAATTTTCAGAAGGAACCTGAAGGCAGTAAAACAAGAAAATAGAAAGATAAGAACAGTTATAAAGTTTGTTTGAATGTAAACTAAATATACTTTTGAAAGCTTTTGTTAATTAAAAATAAAAAGTATTTTTATTCAACTGAAAAATTATCAAAATCATTTATAAATTTATGTAGAAACAGATGCATAGTTTCTCTTCTCCCGCACACGCATTCAAAGCATGAGTTAATTGTGGAACACACAAAAGAGGCTAGGCTACGAAGAAACACCCCATTGGAAAGTGCAACTCGGTAAATTATTGGTCATCTGTGACAGTGAGTTCGTAATCACAAGGGTGACGGTGTTCATTTCAGTTGGCGTGTGTCTCAACTTATACACTACATAAAAACATTACCAAGAGATTAACAGAGACAAAAATTTAGAAGTGTTTTTGAGAACTTAATTCCTAAAAATATTTTTTTTTTAACAAAGAAATTCTAAAAAAACTCTATTAATTTTGTATGAGTGGAGAAAGTCACCATAAACAATTGACAAAAATAAATATATAGATAAATACTTATACGACAATTAATTAATTAATCATACAACATAATATAACAGTGGCGTGCTAGCTAGTAATGAATGTTGATGATATATGAGTTGATTGATCAGGCATTGAAAATTTTGGAGAGAGCTTGCAACACATTGAGTTGCAACCTCAACTGCAAGATGTGCTCCGCCGTCTTGAGGAAAAGGCGGTCAGGGTTGGTTCGGGCGGTGCCGGGAACGAGGCGGCGCAACTTCTTGAGCCTCCTCTCGACGGCGTCTTGCCGCCGCCTCCTCCTCCACTTGACCTTGGCCATGTCCTTGCAACCCATTTAGAGGAAGAATGGAAGTGAAGCAAAGATAAGAATGATGGAGTTGTATGAGAAAGAAGGAAAAAGAAAAATAATGATGGGAGTTGAAGAGGAATGAGCAATGGGTGAGGGCTATAAATGAATGGAGAAAAAGGCAAAGTTGTGGAAACGGGCCATGAGAGCCGAGCCGAGCCGAGCCGAGGGTGAAGAAGCTAGCTAGCGCGAAACAGGAGTCAGGACATGATGATGATGTTACGTGGTAGTATGCTGGGAGACTCGGTTTGAGTTTGGCGTGTTATGGGCCGGTGGGCCAGGCCCACGTTTGGCACTGAGCGGCCCACGCACGTGTCTGTCAGTGGCTGGCGCCAGCCAGACTTATGAACGGCTTGCGTTGCGTACACGTGTCCTAGTAATCCTCGAATCCCGACAGTTGTTCGCTCCTGTCACGGGATCGGATCGGTTGCGTCACGCCCCATCGTAATTCAAAATGTGAGTCACCACATCGTGCGGCTCACCATGCTCCTGCGTTGGACCCCACGCGCGAAATTCGGTTTCCCACGTGCGGCCTCACATGGCCTTGTTCCTTCTCCTCTGGTGGTGAGGTCCAACCAGATTCCAGAAGAGTTCTCTTCAGTTCAGCTTCACCATACACTCCCCTTCCCTTCCCTTCCCTTGCTTCAACCCACCATCATCATTCATGCATTTAAATTCTTTTTTTTTCTTTTCAAAACCTACTAATATAAGTCAACTAAATTTTATTAATTCAGATAAATAACTAAACTATCTTTATCTGATGATCATTTATTCAATATCTTCATATATATATAACTCAGAGAAGGTCTCAAGTTTAGATTCTTTTTTAATGAAACAAAAAGAATAAATATTAAAAAAGTTACGTTTCTTGAAAAAATTTAAATTAGCCAAGGTTTAATATGTTTTTTACGAGGGTCTAAAGAATAGAGATAAAATAGACTTTTTTTTTTCTTCTTAACTGGTAATATTTTATTAGTCAGAAACATTAAAA